AGGGTCCACCCTGAGATAATAGATGAATGCATGTTTCTATTCAGATCAGAGGAGTGTGGATAAGCGAGAGAGATCTGAATGAGATAGGATTGTACTGAGCTACATATTATTGGGAAAATTCCATCACTTTTCAGCTCAAATCTGAGTGCATGGATCATTGCAGTTTTAAGTATGGAGGTCACAGTAGAACTTAGCCATTTGGGGAGAGCATGTAAGTCAATGGAATGGCAAGTGCAAAAGGTTTAATGTGGGATTTCCCTGGTGTGTTCAAGGACCAGCAAGGAAACAGAGTGGTTAAATCAGAATGAAGAGGAGACAATAGCAGAGGGAGAGGGAGAAGGAGAGGGTAAAGTGGGGAGAAGAGGGAGAATGTGGATCATATTAAGACTTAGACTCCTTTTTTATTGTTTTAATTTTTTTTGACAGGCAGAGTTAGAGAGAGACAGAGAGACAGAGAGAAAGGTCTTCCTTTTCCATTGGTTCACCCCCAAATGGCCGCTACGGCCGGCACGCTGCACCAATCCGAAGCCGGGAATCAGGTGCTTCCTCCTGGTCTCCCATTCGGGTGCAGGGCCCAAGGACCTGGGTCATCCTCCTCTGGGCCACAGCAGAGAGCTGGACTGGAAGAGGAGCAACCGGGACAGAATCTGGCGCCCCGACCAGGACAAGAATCCTGGGGTGCTGGCGCTGCAGGTGGAGGATTAGCCTAGTGAGCCGCTGCGCCAGCCTTTATTGTTTTAATTTTTAAAGATTTACTTTATTTAAAAAGCAGGGTGACAAAGAGAAAGGAAGAGAAGAGCCAGAAAGAAATCATACATCTGCTGGTTCACTCCCCAAATGGCCACAATGGCCAGAGCTGGGCAGGTCTGAAACCAGGATCCTGGAGCTTCTTCCAGATCTCCCATGTACCTGCACCATCCTCCACTGCTTTCCCAGGCACATTTGCATGGAGCTAGGTCAGAAGTGGAGCAGCTGGGACTTGAACTGGCACACATATGGAATGCCAGCATTGCAGGCAGTGGCCTCACCCACTACACCACAATGCCAGCCCCCTCATCAGTAGTTTTAGACAGAGTTGGTCTCCCAGTCCTTCTTGGAAATGTTCTTCATTTGACTTCTAGGAAACCATATTCTCTTAAAATTTTCACTTACCTCATGGATCACTCCCAGCTTCCTTTACTGTTTCTCCTCTTCTCTCTGAACTCTTCACATTGGAGTGTCCTAGGATTCAATCCCTGGTTCTTCTGTCTACATCCACTGCCAGTTTCAAGATCTTACCAGCTATAAAGGCTGCCAAATGTATATGTCTAACCCAGATTTCTGAATTCAACTTGAGTCACATTCAAAATTGCCCTCTTGATCATGCCTCATGGACCTGCTCTCCCCTTGTTCTTTACTTCTAGGTTAACAGCATCTCCATCTTTCTAGTTGCTTGATCCAAACCTGTAGTCTCATCCTTGATTGCTTTATTCCTTCACAGTCCATTTTTAAAAAGATTTATTTATTTATTTGAAAGGCAGAGTTACAGAGAGACAGGGGCAGATATTGCAGAGTTACAAAGAGGCAGGGGCAGATATATATATATATATATATATATATATATATATATAAAACTCTGCCTTTCAAATATATATATATATATGAGAGAGAGAGAGAGAGAGAGAGAGAGAGAGAGAGAGAGAGAAAGAGAGAGATATTCCATCTGCTGGTTCACTCCCCAGATGGCTGCAATGACTGAAGCTGTGCTGATCTGAAGCCAGGAGCTTCTTCCAGGTCTCCCTCATGGGTGCAGGTCTCAAGGACTTGGGCCATCTTCTACTGCTTTCCCAGGCCATAGCAGAGAGCTGGATTGGAAGTGGAGTGGCCGGGACTTGAACCAGCACCCATGTGGGATGCTGGCACTGCAGGCGGCAACTTTACCTACTATGCCATAGTGCTGGGCCCCTGCAGTCCATTTTCAATCCATCAGTAATCCTGTTGAATCTACTCAAAATTTGAAGAATCTTCAAAAATTTTGGGAAAATATTGTGAAAAAAACTACATGTGAATTTCAATTTTTTTTGAAAATTTCTAACTCTGGCTTTCAAATAAATAAATAAATAAATAAATCCTATTAATTGGGAGCCGGCACTGTGGCATAGCAGGCTAAGCCTCCACCTGCAGCACCAGCATCCCGTATGGTCACCAGTTTGAGACCTGGCTGTTCCTCTTCTGATCCAGCTCTCTGCTATGGCCTGGGAAAGCAGTGGAAGATGGTCCGGGTGGTTGGCTCCCAATTAATAGGATTTTTTCCCTTCCAGCTACACTATAATTCACGTGTAAAGAGCTAACAATGAGAAAATTGGATTTCATCAGGATGGTATGTTTCACAAGCGAGTTCAACAAGGTGAAAGAGAATCTATAGAGAATAGAGGAGAGAACATTATACAAAGAAGTGATGGCAATAATTCAGTGTTGGGACCAGCGCTGTGGCATAGCCAGTAAAGCAGCCGCCCGTGGTGCCGGCATCACATATGGGCACCAGTTGGAGTCTGGCTGCTCCACTTCTGATTCAGCTTCTTGCTAATGTACCTGGGAGGGCAGCAGAGGATGGCGCAACTGCTTGGGCCCCTGCACCCATGTGGGAGACCTGCAGGAAGCTCCTGGCTCCTGGCTTTGTATTAGTCCAGCTCCAGCTGTTGCAGCCGTTTGGGGTGTGAACCAGCAGAAGGAAGACCTTTTTGTCTGCCTCTCAAAGAAATAAATTAAAAATCAGCCCAGCTCCAGCCATTGTGGCCATTTGGGGATTGAACCAGAGGATGGAAGATCTGTGTGTGTGTCTCTCTCTCCCTCTGTACCTCTGCCTTTTAAAAAAAATTGAGTACTGCCTATGTGGATGAGGAGAAAAGTGAGGATGTCAAGAGAGTGGGGCCAGAGAAGAGGCAGAAAGACTTTGGATTAGATATCTGGATAAAGGGAGGATTGCTGGAGTCAGAGAATGGATTCATGAAATAGAAACAGAGAGGATACAGTTATTGATAATGCTAAGTTCTAGGAGATGATCATGGGAGTGAGTAGCTGAAATGAGGAATAGGGTAGAGCACAAGATCATTGGAGGAGAGGAGTCAAGGAACTCAGATGCCAGGGTATTGGAGAAATCATCACCCATTCTACATGCATTTTTAATCACCATGATTTAAGATCAGATTAGTATTGGAGATAGTGAGTGACAAGGAGCAAAGAGCTATAGAGGCTAAAAATGAGGAGGAGAAATTGGAGTGGGAGAGAACAGTGGATGACAGCCACAGGGAAGAGGAGTAGTAGGGGCATATATGTGGCATGATGGTTAATATGCAGCTTGGGACACTTGAATCTCATATCACAGTGCCTGGATTTGATTCCCGACTCTGCTCTTGAATACAGCTTCCTGCTAATGTGGACTCTGGAAGGCAGCAGAATGGCTCAAGTATTTGGATTCTTGCCACTCACACGGTCGACCCAGGTTGAGTTCTGGGCTACTAGTTTTTGCCTGGCTTGCATCCAGCTGTTGTGGACACCTGGGGAGTGAACCAGCAGATGGAAGTTACCTCTGTCTCTCTCTCTTTCAAATATAGTGAAAATAACAAAAGATTGTGAGTGATATAATCTGATGCTATAAAATTCAAACTCAAAGGCAGTTTTAGGAACATGGAGTAAGCATGATCTGATAATACTTGCTAGCATTGAAAACAGGAGATTTTACATAATCTAGCTTTCATGTAAAATCGTTGCATCTTGAGAGTATTGGCTCCACCAATTTTCTTCTTTTTTTCCCCCTAAGATTTATTTCATTTATTCAAAAGGCAGTTACAGAGAGAGAGGGAGAGATACAGAGATCTCCCATCCACTTTGGAGTCACTCCCCAAATGACCCCAATGGCTGGGGCTGGGTCAGGGCAAAGCCAGGAGCCAGGAGCTTCATCCAGGCCACTCACATGGGTGCAGGGGCCCGAATCCTTGGGTCATCTGCTGCTTTTCCAGGCTCATTAGCAGCGAGCTGGATCGGAAGTGGAGCAGTTGGGACTCCAACCGAAGCTCTCATGTGGAATGCCAGCATTGCATGCGGTGGCTTAACTCGCTACGCCACAACGGCGACCTCTCCACCAATTTTCAAAGATATTTTTATGGACTACCTTCTCTGAGAATCACTGACAATTTGGGTAGAGGGAGGAAAGGACGGTGTATCACCATTGTTTATCTCTAGGGGGCGCTGGTACTTTTAATTCGATCGCCATTATCCACTCTTCCAGTCTAGGGGGTTGTTGGGATTTTTCTCACCACTTTGGAAGCATCTCCATTTATAATTTTATCTATTTTTATTTGTTTTTGAAGTTGAGAAGCTCCCAACTGCTGGTCCACTCCAAGCCAAATGTCATGGCTGGGTAAATGTGAAAGCCAGGACCCGGGGAACACAATCCAGGTCTCCAGGAGACAGTAGGGATCCCATTACCTGACCTATGACTGTTGCCCCCCCTGGGGCTGCATAAGCAGGAAGCTGGAGTGAGGAGTCAGAGGCAAGAACAGAATCCGGGCACTAGGATGTGGGGTGTGAGCATCTTAAGGGAACTGCTAACTGGGCAGCTCTCGTGTTGTCCATAGCAGTTGCATCATGTCCAGGGTTACAGCAGACGATTTCAAAACAGTCCGCTTTTACTCAAACGCCTTGTTGAAAGCAAACGGAAGAGTCTGTGAAACACTTTGAGGAAGGAAAACGTGGTGGAACACCATTTCATCAGGGTAGCCCCAGGGGAAGAGAAGTTAATAAACCGGAGCCTCGAGGAGGAGGGGCTGCCCCCAGGAGAAAAGGACCGGTTTTACTCTGATGTGGGTGGGCTCGCTTTCGTTTCGCTGTTATTGGTGGCTCTGCTTGTCTTTGTCAGTAAGCCACCTACGCAAGTTTTTCATGTTTAAATTCCGGGACAGCCTGGGAGGAAAGTGTACCAAAACGTGCGGAGTGCTGGTCGTCATGCGTTTCCCAAGTGTGGGTAACTCGAAATCACACACCCTACAGCCGTCCCTGCCAGGGCAGGCAGACGGGGGTGGCAGGCTCTCCCTGGGTTCTGCACTTACAGTCCCTCTCCAGCTCTGCTCAGTCTCCCCTCTCCCACACCTAGGGCAACCGAAGGACCACTGAGCACCGAAAGCACCCCCGAGAAGAGGCCAGCCAGAGGCAGGCAGACCCCGCCGCGGCCCAGCGTCCTACAGGGGCATCTAAAGGGAGCGGTGCTCTGCGTCATGTGGGGCCCGCCCCTTCGAGGGCCCGGGCACGGCGTGTTCCAAGGGCTCGGCCGCCGTGGTGGGAGCGGGACTTCCGTGGTTGGCTAGCGGCGCCTCGCAGGGCGTGCAGAGGGGCCCGGGCGCCGCGTGCGGGTCTCCGGCGGCCGAGCCATGGCGGGGCGCGGCGGGGCCCGCGGCGCGCTGTCGCCGCACACTCTGCTCTTCGACCTGCCGCCCACGCTGCTGGGCGAGCTGTGCGCGGTCCTGGACAGCTGCGACGGCGCGATGGGCTGGCGCGGCCTGGGTGAGTGCGGCCTGGGCGGCGGCGGGGCGAGGGGGGAGCGGCGCTCCGGGGCCCGCTCAGCGCCGCCCTGGACTCCTGGGGCTGGCGCGGCCCCCGGAGCTCCAGGCAGGGACACCTGCCCCGTCCCGTGCCTGGGAAGGACCCAGTTACTCCCGAAGACCCAGACATGAGCTCCCCCTTCTCTTTCAGAGAGACTGTGCGGCTCGCTGCCCATCGTCCAGTGAGCTGAGGCTTGAGAAGGGCAAGCCCACTGTAAGCTTCCTAGGTTTACCAGCCATTCCCAGCTTGCCCGGCCTGCGGTATTGAAGCCCCACAAGTCTCTCTTAAGTACAGGTGTTTGGGGTTAGATCGGATAACCCATGGTGTCGTATTTAACGTTAATTGACAATAAATACGATCATATCGAAACAACTTAGTTGTCTGAAATAGTGTTTCTTAGGAGAAAGTTCTCTTTGTTGTTGATAAACGATATAGCCACACTTTATGGAATTGTGGCATAGGACTCCAAGTTGGTTTTGTTTTTAAGATTTATTTATTAGCCGGTGCAGTGGCTCACTAGGCTAATCCTCCACCTGCGGCGCCGGCACCCTGGGTTCTAGTCCCGGTCGGGGCGCTGGATTCTGTCCCAGTTGCTCCTCTTCCAGTCCAGCTCTCTGCTGTGGCCAGGGAGTGCAGTGGAGGATGGCCCAAGTGCTTGGGTCCTGCACCCGCATGGGAGACCAGGAGAAGCACCTGGCTCTTGGCTTCAGATCAGCGGGATGCGCCTACCGCAGCACGCCGGCGGCAGCGGCCATTGTGGAGTGAACCAACAGAAAAGGAAGACCTTTCTCTGTCTCTCTCTCTCTCTCACTGTCCACTCTGCCTGTCTGTTTATTTGAGAGGCAGAGTCACAGAGAGAGGGAGAGAAGAGAGGAGAGAGGGGGAGAGAGGGAGAGAGAAGGATAGGTCTTTCATCTGCTGGTTCACTCCCAGGGCTGGGCTAGGATTAAGACAGAAGCCAGAAACTCCATCCAGGTCTCTCACATGGGTGATGGGGGCTCATGTACTTCTGCCATCATCCCCTGCTTCCCCCAGGTGCATCAGCAAAGAGCTAGATCAGAAGCAGAGCACCTGGGGCTCAGCCTGCACTCTGATAGGAGATGCTGGAATCCAAGTGCCAGCCTAACCCACAGTGCTGCAACACCTACCATGGCCTCTAGCTTTATAAAGATTGTTTATCTATTTTAAGTTCTGTAACTTGAAATTATAGCACTGTTGGAGTAAAAATCTTAGAGAAGTGTACCTTACTCTGCTTTCTGGAAAAACATAGATTTCCAGTATGCATTTAAAGGAGAAGACCCCTCACCCATCAGATCTCTCTGAGAAGAAATCAGGGCATGATCTGTATTTGCACCCACATATTTCCAAGAGTTACTGACTTTGTGGAAGGAGAAGATTTTTTTGTCTGGACCCAGGTATGTGTCATCAGTGTGTGAAGCAGGCTGCTAGAGGTGATGAAAATGGAAGAACATCTATGCCATCTGAAAGGGGCAGGAAGCCAGTTGGTCTAGTGGTTAAGCAGCCCACCTACTATATCTGGCTTTGAGTTCCTGCTCCAGCTCCCTATCCCAGCTTCCTGCTAATGCAGATCCTGGAAGGCAGCAGGTCATGGCCTAAGTACTCCTGACAACCATGTCCAGGAGACCTGGTTGAGTTCCTAGCTCCTGACTTCAGCCTGGCCTATCTCCAGCTATTGCAGGCATTGAGGGGAGTGATCAAGTGAATAGGCAGTATCTCCCAGCACCTCCCTCTCTCTCTTCCTGGCAATGTAACCCAGGCACTCATTTTTTAAAAAAAGATTTATTTATTTGAAAGGTAGAGATAGAAGGGGAGACAGAGTTATCTTCTGTCTGCTGGCTCACTCCCCAAATGGCTGCAGAACCCAGGGATGGCCTAGACTGAAACCAGGAGTCAGGAGCTGCTTCTGGATCTCCCACGTTGGTGCAGGGCCCTAAGCACTTGGGCCATTTTCTGCTGCCTTCATAGTTGCATTAGCAGGGAGCTGGATCTGAAGTGGAGCAGCCAGAACTTGAACTGGCACCCATGTCCCATGTGGGATGCCAATACTGCAGGCAGAGGCTTAACCTTCTACGCCACAGTGCTGGCCCCTTGACACTCATGCTTTACATGGCTTATCTCGTATAACCCCATCAATCACCCTGCTAGCGATTCAGGTGCTATTATTCTCCCCATGTTATAATAGGTTAGGAGACTGTAGTAACTCACCTAGGTTCACACTGCGGGAAGTGGCGGGGCCAGGACTTGAACCTGGCAATTCAAGCATGTGCCCTTAACCACAGCCACTTCAAACATCCCCTCACTGCTTTGTTCTTTACAGCTGCACCTCAGAGTCTCGCTCAAGTACAGCTGCCCCTGGTCACCTTGTTTTCCTAGTTGTGGAAATAAAAGAAGATCACATAAATGAGAACAAGCACAGGCTATTCAAAGCGGGTCAGCCAGCCACTGTTATTGAGCATTTGACTGATTAAAAAGGCAGGGAGAGGATGGGAAAGCTTTGGGAATGCCTGATTGCAGGTTATTGGCATGGCAAAGTGTTAAGGGGTACATATTTGGCTTTATCCAATTGGTCCTAAATTGAAAGTTGACAGATTAAGATTAAGGAAGCTGTTGGTTATTCCTGATTGGAACCAACTGCTACAAGGATTATTTGGCTTCCTGGACTTGTTACAGGTAGCAGTTTGACTTCTTGGATGAGTTACTATAAGATAGTGGGTTGGCTTTTTGGGTTGGTTGATGTGTGTTCTGACTAGAGTTCTATTTTATATATAGTCTGCCCATTGCCACTTTGTATATTCTCTTCTAGGGGAAGGATCCAGAAGGCTTAGTCTTTGATTCTCCAGCTAGTATTCATTGTACAGGGAGCTGTATCTACTGACCGCCTGCTCCACATAGCTGGAACTGACCAGCAGTTTCACAAGTTGTTGGTTCAGCAAGAAGGGCAGGCTGGTCCAGTTCAGGGTGTAAAGGTCAGCTTCCCTGGGTGAACATGCTGAGTTTGCCTGTGGGTGTAGGCAAGGGAGAAAGAAGGGAAGGGAAAAGGAGAAGGAAAACCTTTGACGAGGGAGGAGAGAATGATGGAGAACTGAACCAAAGTGACAGGCCCCTCTGTGCTCAGGACAGCTGGGCGCCTGAAGGTACATACGGCCCACAACTCCAAATAGAAAACAACTGTGATGGTTACAGGCACAACTGTCTGAGGCCAATCATGATTCTTGATGATGTTGCGTATCAGGCTACGGTTAGAAAGGAAGCTCAGACGAAGGCAGATCATATAGCAGCCTTCATTATACGGTCAGTGTGTGGGGGATAATGTAAGCCAGTCCTTCCCAAACTGGAATCACCTGTGCAATTGCCTTTTACTCCATTTTAAAAATTATTTATTTGAAAGTCAGAGAGAGGAAGACAGAGAGACAGAGACAGAGAAATCTTGTATCCATTGATTTACTCCCAAATGCCTGCAACAGCTGGGCTAGGCCAGCCCCAAGCCAGGGGCTAGAGAATTCAATCCAGGTCTACCATATGGGTGGCAGGGCCCCAAGTACTTGAGCCATCATCTGATGTGTCTCAGTAAAAGCATTAGCAGGAAGCTAAATCAAAAGTGGAGCCAGGACTTGAACCCACGACTCTGAGATGGGGTGCCAGTGTCCCAACTGGCATCTGAACTGCACCAAATACCAACCCCTATGCAATCTTTTAAATATACATGTGCCCAGGCCCCAGGTCTGGAGCTTCTTGGTCACTGTCTGGTGTGTTTCATTTTTCTTACTCAGCTCTCCAAGTGAATCTGATGTGCAGCCTGATTTCTCTTCTTTATAGCATCTGCCTATTACAGTTCTTTGATTACATTCTTTCAGTACTTAATTCTTTTTGTCTTAAGCATATTCTGCATATTACTCTTCAGCTCACTTGTGTCAGGTGTGTTATTAAAAAGTGTTATCTGAAGATAGCATGCTATCCAGTTGACTTTGATGACTTTTTGGCTTTATAGTGAAAGTGGGAATCCAAATTGGAAAATGTTATTTACTTTACAGAGATGATAAGGTGTATACAGAACCTCTGATGATAACTCACTTCATTAAATTAACACAGATTGGCATTTATTTAAATTAAATTGGAGTAGCTTACATGGTAAAACCTCAACACTTACACTGAGAGAGAAACCATTTTTACAGACACTTTGCACTAGGTCAGATGTTATTTTTTTCCTCTCAAAAAGCAAAGGAAAGTATCATATAAATTATTATTTAAAACAGATTAAATGTAAAATCACACTAAATGTACATTTGAATGTGCAGTAATTTAAAATGATAGCAGTAATAATAATGGCTGCCTCCACTTGCGTGCTCACTGTGTGTCAGACACTGTGAATTGCACGAGTGATCTAACTGACTTACCACAACATTTCAATAACGTATTTACTCCTCCTTTTCACATGTTATAGGTAGAGAAACTGACCTGAGAGATCTTGAGTAATTTGCCTTAAGTCAGTCTGCTGAGTGACAGACTAGGAGTCTAAGCAGAATCTAAGGCCTATGTCCTCTTTGCTATTTTACATTTTAAGTGGTCTTTGTTGTTTAGAACTGTTTTAAATTCACTGAAAAAATTGGAAGGTAGTTCAGAGATTTCCTCTCTATTCTCTAAATCCTCCCCATATGCTGTGCACCCAGGTTCTCCAGTGATTAACATCTTACAGTAGTAGGGTGTGTTTGTTGTGGAGACGTTACTTTATTCACATGCCTTTGTCTTTTACCTGGCATCCTTTATATTATAAGTTTTCATCCAGGATACCACGTTGCACTTCTTTTATTTGGTTTTAAAATTTATTTGCTTGAGAAACAGAGAGATGGAGAGGAAGAGACAGATAGACACACAGAGAAAGAACTCTCATTTGCTGATTCAATCTCCAAATGCTCACAACAGCCAGAAGCTGGGAACTCAGGTCTCCCACATGAGCCATCATTGCTGCCTCCCAGGCTCTGCATTAGCTGGAGTCAGCAGCTAGAGTGGGCATTGAGCCCAGGTATTCCCATGTGGGATGTAGGTATCTTAACCACTGGACCAAACACCCACCCTCATACTGCATTTACTAGTCATGTATACTCCAGCTCCTCTTGACTGTGGTGGTTTCCAGATTCTTCTTTTGTTGACCTTGACAGTTTTGAGGAGTACTGGTCAGTACTCGTCGACTGTTG